GACGTCCACTGACGTCGCCAACGTCAACTTAATTATTTATTGGTGAAAAAACTGTGATTTTTACAAGTGTGATGTGTATTACCAACATATAGAACGTACCATATAAATATTTTAAAGTATTATGTCACATTTGACCTCTCCTTTAAAGTCAATACTTTGCTATAAAGGTAAAAGTGATAATAATAAAGAGCTGTTTAAAACTATGTTGTTTTTTTGTTTTTGCTATTGTTTGGGCTGAGAATACAGGCATATAGGGAATGGTATATGAGGTTTCTAAATATCACATTACTTTTGACCTCTGATTTATTCTTCAAGGTCAGATAAGTTTTAAATTTTTTAATCTTTAAAATGTCTCTAAATTCTACTGCCTTTGTCTGCATAAGCAAAATTTGGGAAACGACACTGTGGGTTCTAAATATCAAGTAATAGTTTGCATCCAAATGTGTCACATTTTACCTCTGATCTCACTTTTATATTTCACATCTGTGTTTCTTTCAAAGTGAGCTCAAAATGCTGTATTGCCTTAAAGAATTAGAAAGAGAAAGATGAGCTGCCTTAGTGGAAATTTGTGTTCTCGATTCATGTTGTTCAAGTGGAAGTGTTTAGGAAAACCCAGTATTACGCAAAATGTTTAATACGCACACCGGTCCACTGTGTCCATTTCACGCTTTGCCGCTCCAAAACATGAAATGGGCATGCATGCAGAAGCTGCATTACCAGCAGGGGGAGATAATTTATATAAAGCCAAGAAGTTGGTAGTGAGCAAAAAACATACAAAGTGCATTCCAGGGTCCTTAATTGTCTAAATAATTAAGCGAGGTGGCTAACACGAGTTAATGATGTCTGTTTAAACGCTTTCCAATGATTGTTTTCATGTTGGCTTCAAATAAAATATCTCCCTCTGCTGTTACTGCAGCGTACTGCACCTTTTCCATCCTCTTTTCACACTTGGGAGAGGCAAAGAGTACAATGGACACTGTGGACCGTAATGTCTATTACACAGTATCGGGTTTTTAAAGAACCATACCAAGTTGCATACTGCATAAAAGTCTGACTCAGTAATTGCAGAGCACAAAACTTCCTCTGCCGTTAACATCAGTACAGAAACTGTGACCCAGGAGCTTCATGGTATGGGTTTCCATGGCCAAGCATCTCCTGTAGCTCTAATGTGTAGGTGGCCCAGTGCTTTTGTCCACTGGGCCACCAATACATTACAGAAAATACAAAGGGTGTCAGCTCACCTGTTATCTTTACAGCTTCTCCCTGTTTTCCTCCAACAGAAGCAATGGTGGGTCATCAGAGACGTGCCTGAACCTGAGAGGTGGAAGGTATAAAGCCTGGTTCTTCAATTCCTTCTCTCTGGGATGCTTTGTCATGCTGCTTTGTTAGGTTATTTTGTCTCTTGTACCCTTGTTCAGCATCATCCATTCACAGCATATACCGCTGACACCCAACACTGTCATGTGAAACTACATGTTTAGTTATATAAACTGGTTGGCAAATTGGACTGTGCGGATTTGTTATTTGCCAGCCTGAGCCAAGCTGGTAACAATAAACAGAATATTTTCCACTGCAGAAAAATATGTTAATGCTGAAAATTTATACAGCTGATTTGTGTTTGAACATTTACGATGCTGCATGATACAAATAACCAAGAATCATCTCTGCAGAGTCAGAGCTCTGTAGCTTTTTTTATCAGCTTTTTTAGGAAATTGTAAAAGTTTAGAAGAGTTTAATGAAGTTTAAATTGTGCAGAAAGTTACCAGAACTTCTTTATTAAGGATTTAAACACACCCAATATTTTGAATTATGAGATTTTTCAAATGAGAATGAGAAAGTAAATATAGATCACGCTGTTACTAGGTGATAACGGAGCAGCCATTACCAGTGATGCACACACAGTGTAGATGGATGGTTCATAAAGCAACCAATCTTCAGCAGTATGTGAACTTGTTATGTCACTATCTGGCTAATTTGATGATGTATTGCTTGTCAGGTAAAAGCTTATATTAAGTGTGACAGATATGCTAAGCTCTGATAGTAGTCCTACAAGTGTAAACACAGTCACACCACCAGAATGATGACATTATTACAAATACACTACGCCCCAATCTCCTTAATGCAAAATAGATGGCTTGCACAGGTGACTCGTTTTCCTTCCTGCCAAGGTCAATCATTACCACCTTGGAGAGATAATTTATTAATAGCAGATTGCCCTTTGTGCCTCCATTTTTTCAGGTGATGAATGCTTCAAACCTCGTTCAACCTTTGTCAGAAAGAGTGAAACGATAAAGCTGCTAACCAAAACTAGATTCAGTCGAGGAATATTTTACAGGTTCATCATCCATGTGTTCGGCCTCACTAGCTGTTACATCACCGGTGTCCTTCTCTCTACAGGCATATATGTGGCAGATTAGTAATGGAAATAGAAAAAAAGGGTGTGTGTAATTAATGTATTTGCTTCCACAATGCAGTCGTAGCATGTTAATCACAGATGCGTGCTGCTCTGCAACTGGTTTAGCAACTGTACCTACGGTACATGTATCATGCAAAAAAGCTTTTTAAACATCAACAACCAATTGCAAGATAGATTTATGCGATGCATTATGAATCCACTCTACTCTGCATCATTCTGTCCCTCCATTCAGCACTACAGTATGTGGCTTTGTGCTACACTGCACAATGACACAGCAAAAATGTTTAAGGTAATGTGTATGTGAAAAATGCTGCAGGAATCCTGACTTTAGGGGGGAACCACTCATACACGCACATACATGATGGCATTGTAGGTACCAGACTTCTGTAACCTGCTGTTTATCTCTACTTGAGGCTAGCTGCATGGCAGTACATTTGAGCGTCCAATCTGCACTCAGAGGGCACCCAGAGGGCTTTGGGTTGTCAGTTCATCAGGTACATGAGGGCTTCTCACAAACATTATGAGCCCCTTATTCACATACACACACACAGATCAACTTTGTCTGAGGGAAACAGCCACAGGTCACAAAGTTATGGAGTCAAATACAGAGTTAGCAGAGCAAAGCAAAAATCATAAAAAATGGTAATTAAATAAGAATTAAATAGAATTAATTACCATAGTCTAATAGAGTTTAAATAGAAAAAGTAAACCAACTCCAACATTAGCCCATTACTGTATGTCTTCTCCATTCTGAATGGCAGGTGGTCATTAAGTTCCTTGGCCAGTAAGAAAGTGTAAAAGTCTCAAACCTAAAACAGAACGAAAATGTTTTGGAATTGTCCTTTTGAAGTTACGCGACACGTCCCACAGCGCTGTGCCATTCCCACGAATCGCATTTTGAGCCTTTGCAGTCTCTTGCACTCAGCCGCTTTTCAGGTGAAGTCAGTTAAGTCTTTGGGGGTTTAGAGCTTAGGCCTTTGGATGGAGACTGGAATTGGACCTAGTATAACACACTGAAATCTCCAACTTATCTGTCTGCTGTCAGTTCTCATTACGCTCGGTGCCAGTGCCAAGTTTTTGAAATCTTTGCTAGATATTTCTGGCTCCGCTGCATCAATTTTTATACTTTGCATGTATGCTTTGTTAAATTTTTTCACTGGTCTGACAATTGGAAGAATTGTTTCATGCAGACAAGAAAACCAAAAGCTCAACTTGTACTTTGTACTTGATTGCATAACCCCCATTGTGTGCAATTAAATTCCTCTGCACAGTACAAATATACTGTATGCCACAAAGAAAAGCTCATATATGATATATAGCATGCACAGTCGAGCATATCTTACCTTTTCTGCAAAGATCTTTTTCATTAAATGCAGATTGTCTATAATATAATACCTGTGTAAGGCATATATTTGTGTTTTGTCATGCATAATATCCACACTGCACTCAGTTTTGTTTAGAATGTTGCATAATTTGTGTTCAGATGGATGTTTGTCTGATGAAGATCTTGTAGGTTGAAACATTAAAAAACTCCCTTTGGGGACAACATTTTCCTCTGTCCTGCACCCGAACAAGCACGAAAATGTTTCTTATTTTTGTGGCAAAGCTCAACCCAAAGCTCAGCCCTGGTAAAGAGTGTTTCTCAGTTCATTTTATTCAATTTGTTCGTCGTCTTATCCTTAGCTGACCAAAATTTTGAGACTTTTTGTATTTATTATGTGTTTTATAGTCAAATAGTTTCAATAAAAGCATTTATTGTAGAACTGAATAAAGAATATTTATTATTACAACATTAGTTCGTGTTGCTGAAATCTCTGCATGGAGTTAAGACCTCTGATTCCCTTTAGGAAACATAAATAATGTGAAAGTCACAACCACAAGCAAAGTCTTTAAATATATAGATTACAGATATTACATTGTGTCAGTCTTGAACGCACCTGCGTCTGCCTTAGAAAATTGTATAAAATTCTCTGAATGACTTCCTGTTCAAGTGCAATCCTCTGTCAAGTGTTATGGGTCATGTTAAAATTCATATATGGAAAGCCAAAAGATGTCAGCGCGTGTGCTTCCATATGTCCTGACAACATGAGTGCCCCTTTCTGCATACGTGAAGTACACTAGAATAGCATCACTTGCGCTCGCTGTCATGACTTATTGAACTATGAAAGCAAAGACTTGTTCTCCTGCAGGAAGGCGGCAGAGGAAGGGCAGGGAGATGGTGAGGAGATCAAACAGCAGCGAGCTGCAGCGCAACCTTAAAACATGAGGAGGAAGTGATGCGAAACGACACCCTCTTGTCCACATTGATCCGCGCTGTTTAATGCTTTCCCACATCTCCGAGTGCCTCGAGAGGTTGTTGGATTTCAATTTTGATGTCATCATAATGTTTTCTGGCCGTGACTCTAATCTCTCATTAGATTTCAAGGTAACACCTCACAACAGGGAGAAAACTGCAAGTCATCTGCCACAATATAAACATGGCAAAACACAAATGAAAGGACCAGCATGGCTCATCTTTACTAAGAACTGCATTAAAGCTCTTACTCAAAGACAAATATTTGAAAGCCTTTATTACACAGCGCCTCTGAATGAGAACAAATACTAGAGCAACAAACTTTGTTTTCATTTTATGCTGGCAGATCTTCAGCATTTTTTATGTAGCTCTGCAAGCCAGATTCTACAATTCAGATCACTCTATGCGGCCATAAGATGGGGAAACCATGTGACACACGAACAGGACATACTGAAGAAACAGACTGAATGTGGCAGAAAACAGGCCCACCCATGCACAGTTAAACAAGATTAAGTTTGTTCAGCAGAATTGAATTTATTATGAGTGATCATCAGCTTTGCTGCATTAATATCAGCTGCAGATGAAGCTTTTCTTAAAGCCCCAGAAGGAAAGCAGACTTCTCACTCTTCCTTTCAACTGCATGGGTGTGCCTTTCTAAACAAAGATAACCACAGCATCGAGCGGCCCAAGACTATGATCAAAATATAAACCTATGGTTATTTTCAGCATACATAGACATATAACTGAACCGGCAACCTTGCTTTCAGGTATTCACATAATCCCAAAAAAAATTATCCAGGGTCATTTATCCAAAAGGTATTTATGAATTCAAAATCATGTCTGTTGCTCCTGATTTCTGCTGCTTATTCACATTAATGGGTCAGGCATCATGGGAGTAAGTGCTATGCACTGCATTAACATACTTTACCAGCCAAATAGGAATCCACACAGAATAATCCATCACTTAACTGATATGTGAAAGGTTAAAGTGAAGCAGTGTCAAAAAAATTAGAAGTTTCCCACCACCACCCTCAATGTGCAAAATGCCTATCTTCACAAATGATTTCTCTTTGTATTAAATACTAAATCAGGTCTTTTGTAAATAAAAACAAGCTTCTTTTTTTTTTTTTTACTTTTTTCTAAATTGGCATTTCTCCTCATCATGGCTTCATTGAATTAGAATTTTTTTTTAATGTATTTAGATAATGGAAATATTTTTTACAACTATGCCTTTTATGTAGAACAATTTCTCACCACTTTTTCTTTTTTTGTTCAATAAAACTGGCATTTTTTTTCATCTCCATCCCGATTCAAATGAAAAAAGTCCCATTTTCACATCCTCATAATGCCTGTGAGTCACAGAGAGCTTATTATTTGAAGGATTCTTGTTTCAGAAGTTCATATAAGAAAATAGACACATAAACAAAAGTTGTCAGTAACCGGAGGTGCTGCAGCTCACAGCCTGCAACATCTGAAGCGCGTGAGTTTGTGAAAAGCTTTTTTGAAGTCCTCGTTTGACATGGTGTATATGATCGGGTTGATGAGGGAATTGAGATATCCCAGCCAGGTGAAAAAGTCAAATAACTCGGGGTTAAAACATGTGTCACATGTTGCCACCAGCAACGTGTAGATGAAAAACGGAAGCCAGCAAATAATATAAGCGCCGAGGATTATCCCCAGAGTCTTCGTCGCTTTTCGTTCTCTTGCTGCTGAAATTCTCTTTTTCTCCAAAACCGCATCGGACAACGTCACTTTCACCTGGTTCTCGCTCGTTGAAGACCCGGTGTCGCTGGACGGAGCGTCGTGTCTCCCGCACTGCAGAGAGCTAGTGGACGCCGCGGACCCAGGGGAGTTGGAGACCAGGTGAGCCGATGTTAGTCTCTTCCCAACCTTCTTCGGGGACTGCTTCAGGATCCTTTTCCGAGCCTCCACGTATATCCGTCCGTAGAGGACAATGAGGAGCAAGGTTGGGATGTAGAAAGCCCCAAAAGTGGAGTAAATGGTGTAGAAAATGTGATCTGTGTTGACGCTACAGCTTGTTAATTCATCCGCTTTCACCTGTCTCCAGAAGAGAGGCGGGAGGGAGATGGAGATGGCGATGACCCAGGCTGTGGCCACCATCCCTGCCGCTCTTCCCGTTGTGCGCTTTTTAGAGTACTCCACTGCGTCAGTGATGGCCCAGTACCTATCCAAAGCGATTACGCACAGATGGAGGATGGACGCAGTGCAACACGTTATGTCCGAGGAGAGCCAGATGTCGCAAACTATTTGTCCGAGCGTCCAAGTGTGGATCACGGTGTACAGGACGCAGATGGGCATCACTAGGATAGACACCAGCAGGTCAGTGACGGCCAGAGAGGCGATCAGAAAGTTTGCGGGAGTTTGCAGCTTCTTCGACTGGGAAATCGTTGCGATGACAAAGGCATTGGATAAAGTGGTGGCGAGTGTGATAATCGAGAGAATCACAGCCAAGCTGATCTGATAGGCGAGACTCTCTGCGCTCTCATCCACAATGGATGAATTTGTAGTAAAACTGTCGTTTGTGGTGTTGACCGGCTGAGTTGGCTCGACTTGACCCGAGAGCTCCATAACTTTTAGTCACTTTTATCATATTTTATTTGCACCCTCTGATGTCTGATGTCGTTAGCGTTGCCTCATCCGTGCCATGCGTTCAGAGTAGTGGCACAGTGGAAACAGAAAAACTCACTCTTTTCTTCTTCATTTTTTCATCTTACATCAGATTTTAATGCGCAGATGTCGAAATATGGAGGCAAGTATCCATTCATCGCAGAAATGAAAACTTCTCCGGGTTTTAGCCATGAAAAGAAAACTTCCTAACTGTGGAAGCACGCAACAAATAAAAAGTATTGTGCATAAATGTTGAGCAGTGCGCCCTGATAACCCAACATCTGGGAGGATGTCACAAATAATCCACATGTAGGGCAGAGGTTCTCGAGAGCTATGCCTTTGCAGGCCCCTTGTGGTTGAATGCTGAGCCAACCCCGAGTCTCGATTTTATACAGACTCTGACATCAAACAAGCGCCACCGATCACAGCTCTCTCTCTCTCTCTCTCTCTGAAGAGTAGACTGCCTTCTGGGTCATAGTGCCCAGTGTTTCCCATTTGCCACATACCCTTCCAGATATATATATATATATATATATATATATATATATATATATATATATATATATATATATATATATATATATATATATATATATATATATATATAAAGAAACATCTTGGATTACAAAAGACAAAATGTGCTGTTGTCACCACACCAACTTTTAACATCCAACTTTGTAAAGCATACAACTATAGGTAATTAATGAACCATTAGAAGTATGAATAAATCTTAAGTCATTAGTATTGAATGTTAATAATTCAATGCGCCAAGTCAGTTAGTGTGCAAAATGCTCTCATTTAACCAACCATATTGGAGTTTTATGCACTGGTTACATTTGAAGTTGTCCATCTTTGTTTAGGGACACAACTTCTAAAACAACTTTGATCAAACATGATATTGATGTAGATGATCCAAAATCCAATTCAACAAAGATTTAAAGTAAGTCCGATTCTTACCCATGGCCTCGCCTTGGAGACCATATTGACCAAGCTGGTGCACCGCAGTATAAGAGGAAGTCTGATCTATTAAAGGAGCACTGCCAAGTCCCATTAAGTCCTTATAGACTGTAAGCATACCATCATTGGATTTGGTGCCAAATGCACTGGCTACATTTCAGTGACTTTTAAATATGGTTATTAATGAGCTGCAACGTTGTGCTGATTTTTTGGATGACGTGCTGGTATATAGTAGTGCCTAGAAAGATCATCTTTACCACATTTGTGTTTTGTGTTTTTACGAATAGCTAAATCTTGCAAAATAACATAACATGTCATCTCTTGGTAAGGTTGTGAGCCAAAGTCATGCGAGACCTGTTGATGCCAAGGTGTTAGCCATCAAGTAGTTCCCTGTTTCTACCACTATAAAGGAGCTTGTAGTTTGTTATTAGCATTATTTTTCCAACAAGGTTTTGACCATGGCATCATCTTTTGACTGATTTGCTAAAAGCCAGCAAAAAGAGCAAAATTGACTTTGTCTACTTTACAGCCAGCTTCTGTTAGCATCAAATCACTGTTGTGCTGTGCTTCTGTTTTGTTTGCACCCCACTTGGATGGACCATTTAAACTGCATGTGGATGAGGCACTCATCCAAGCTGACAAACAAGACCTTGAATGTCCGGTTACAGCTTTCCCCCCCAAGAAGTTCCATTTTTACCAGCTGAATTATTCAACCACAGAACATTTTTTTAATTATTATTTTATTCAGCCTCTGAGCATCCTGATTTTGCTTCTCAATCAAATAGCTTCAAAAACCATGTTTTTAAAGTGCTGTATAAATAAAGGTATCTGCACACTGTTTTCTAGTATTTACGAGGACTTGTGACATCAAGTATTTACGCTGATTTTTCACATTGTGGCGATGCTAATTTTCAATTCATGGATGCAAGATGAAGGGTGAAGAGTTCACACACATTAAGCACTTCCTCTTTTGACACTTCTGATGTGTGAAAGTAGCTGTCATTGATATTGGCACAGAGTCACTGCTGCATGTGAGGCTGTGAACTTCATGCTCTCATTTAGAGCATCATATCAGAGCTTTTCAGTCAGGTCTGGAAATACATAAACTGTACTTTAACACACACACACACACACACACACACACACACACACACACACACACACACACACACACACACAAGAGCACTGTTAAGTTTCCAAACTGAGAAACTACAATAACTCAAAGCAATGACTCTGCTGTTATATATTCCTTTCTCATCTCAAACTGATGTCACATTCACCCTTCTACACTATTATACATTTTCCTCATCAGAAACTTTTAATTGAAATTGACTTAAGTTCTGCTGGCTGGGTTTCCGATTCACATTAGACCACCTTCGTCTGCAGTTCTCAGGTGGTTTTGTTAGGAGAAGTTCTGGGCCAATATTGTAGTGCAAATAAAGCTTGTGGCATTTTCTTTTTACTACTTTTCCCTAAAACTCATAGACGACGTAACACAACTGATCATGTCTCAGATATTAAAGTGGCATTTTTATGTGAATTAAGTTTAGCAATTAAACCTCTAAACAATATTTAAGTACTTATTTATTTAATATAATAAGGAGGTATTTCATGTGCTAAAATTTCCATTTCTGCTTACTAAGATTGTATGATTGCCTAGAAAGTGACTCATCAGTCACTTTATAAAATAAAAAGTTCAGCTGCAAGATAACACAAATATCTAACCAATCACGTGGCAGCATCTCAGTGCATTTAGGCATGGAGAAATGAGACGACCTGCTGAAGTTCAAGCTGAGCAATAGAATAGGAAAGGGCAGTGAGTTAACTGATTAAGCGACTAAATGATTAGGTGCGGCATGATTATTTGTGCCAGTCTAGCTGATCTACTGGGATTTTCCCACACAGTCTGCCCTAAGGTTTACAGAGAATGGTCCAAAAAAGAAAAAATGTCTAGTGGGCAGCAGTTCTCTGGAGGAAATGGTTTGTTAATGCCTGAGGTCAGAGGAGACTGGTCAGACTGCTTCAAGCTGATAGGAAGTTAACAGTGACTTAAATACCCACTCCATACAATAAGGTATGCTTAATGGCATCTCTGAACACTCGTCATGTCAGTCTCTGAAGTGGGTGGATTACAACAGCAGAAAACCAAAAGAGCAAAATCTCTTAGGCATGTTTCCAACACCTTGAAGAATGTATCTGATGAAGAATTAAAGCAGTTAGGAAGGAAAGAGCTGACCGTTTAAGACATGAGCAAAAACAAGTCTAAAGTCTTTGGCCAACGTCATAACATGCATGTAGTGCAAGCCTGGCTCTGCCTGGGGCTTGAATCAAAGATGTTCTTGCTGAGACACAACAGATCATGTATATGAGATGACTGTATAACATTCTAGTTTTGCCGTTGTGTGTGTAGTTAAACTCACAAAATGTATTTTTGCACCAGCGCTCATAGGTCAGTAGGTTGTTCCACTGCACCACACGTGTAGCAAGCTGAGAGAACAAAACAAAAAGCATCTCCACTTAGTGGCTGCGTTACCTAGTTACAGCATTAAGCAGTAAATGCAAATGCTAATGCGGCGCAAGCAATAAATCACTAGCCATTAACCTTGTTAAATATGCAGATTTACCTCCCATCAGAATAAACTATTTCTACAGGGGTAAACACAAATTTTTTTAAGCTTGAGTAATCAATGCAAATACATCGAGTGTCCTGAAAAATACCAAAACAAGAAGTTTTCCACCATCCTTGAAGGTGTGCAAAAATGTAAATAAAAAATAATCTTTTCAATGTCATAAAAAAGGGTCAAGAACGAGCAAAAGCATTTGTGTCAGACACCTGAGCTACATTTAGAGTTTCATATACCGTGACGGTGTCATGAGGTGGAGATAAAGTGTGCATTTGTCTGAATTTACAGGAATTTTAACAACTGATGTATGACGGGGAAAAAAAATAATTATTTATTTTTTGTTGTTGTAATAAAATCTTAATGAGCTTGTAGCAATGTGAGTTTAGTTCTGGGGAGACTGAACATTACCTATCGCTGTTTTTTTTTTACTCCTAAGGCATGCAAACACACCTCTGACACCTTTTCAAACCAAATTCGCAATTTGCATTATTGTGATCCTGATAATTGCTTTTAGTGTTCATTTTTTTTTTATTCAGGGAGAGCTGACTGCATCTGTTAGAGAAAGCCTTTATTTAATTTGCAACAGCGTTGTGATTTCTGGTGTCTAACACTTGAATTCCCCTACAGTACAAGCACTGACAAGCAGCAGGCATTCCTCTGTGTTTGAGCTCTGTAAAGAGTAATCTCAGGCAGCACTCAGTCCAAAACAGACCCTCCTGTGAGTTCATGATTGTACCCCTTCACTGACCATGACTGACTGGCACTGCTAATGCACAGGAACTGGACACAACCCAGCCAGTGTTGTCACTGTTTACACAAAACATGCAGTCTCGTTTTTGCTTTTTTGTGTTTTTCACATACTCACTTTTACCCAAAAATGTGGAGAACTATGTTACCACCAGCTGAGGTGAGGTTGGATCAACCCTCTGGTGAGACTGCAAGCTCTGACTGTGAGATTTATGTAAGGACACTTGGAAATGCTCTATTAAATAAGCAGAAAACACACAGGTGCACTCAAACCTTGTATTTGAACAATGTTACCAGAATCATAAAGCGGTGTATTGTTTGTTTCCTGGTTGATTTTTCTGTGTTAAAAGCCTCCCTGTGGCCCACTTTGACTGCAGCAGCAGTAGCAGCATGGGGGGATTTCTATGACTCTGTTTGTGTTATCTCCTCTCATCTCTAAACGCATGGTAGCACAGCACATCAGAAAGTGTGTTATATTGTGAGGTAAACATCATACAATAATGCAGAAAAACCCTAACAATCAAATTATCACCTAAAAGTAGGCACTTGGCAAGAGCAGGAAGGAAAAACTCCCTTTTAACAGGAAGAAACCTCCAGCTGAACCAGACTCAGGAAGGGGCGGGGCCATCTGCCACAACCAATTGCAGGTGAGGGGAGGGAGACACAACAAAAGACTGAAATTGTCTTTTAAATGAGAAACATTTTCTTCCACTTATCCAATCCAGAGGGCTAGAGCTTATCCCAGCTGTTGTTGGGCAAAAGGTGAAGTACTCCCTGGACAGATAGCCAAATATTTACTTAATTGTTATTTCCTGGAGTGGGCCAGGATACTGACTACATCCTTTAGGTCATGGTGGTGAAGCCCACTGAGGCTGTGATGCCAGGAGCCCTGCTGGAGCGGGGCTGCAGAATTGTTTCCATGGCTGTTTATCTTTAAGATGGAGAAACCTAGTTATTTATTTAGTTATTTTTCTCCAGTTTAACTCTTTACCTTAGCTTGAGTTTGCCTTTAGTT